TCTTGTTTTCTTTTCATTTTTTCTTTGTCCCTTCTCACAAAATCCTTCAGAAGTTTAACAGGTCTCTTTTGTAAATCTAATAAAAGAAAGTTATCCAAGTTGCCCTTTTGGTCTGCCATTTGTGTATCCCTTTTAATTATTAAAATATTAGACGGTTTCATTTGTATATCCAGTATAACATCTTTTTCCATATTGTTCTTGTATCTTGTCATTTTTAAATTCACTTTCAGATCAGTCTCAGTCTTATCCTGTAAAACCTGTTCCTCTTCCTTAACATCTGAACACAGTCTATACTGGCAGACACTTTTAAGATTAACTTCTGGATCCATTGCTCAAAAATATCCCCCAATATGTCCAGCGTGAAAGTATTTTGCTCCATTCTATGTTAGTAAGTCAAATTTAAGTGTTCTTCTTTAATTGTAACTTTTAGTTCCTTCTGGTTCCCTGCAGTGTCCAATGTTCAAATTCCCATCTTATTAGTATTATTTTTTTTTTAAGAATTCAAAACAGCAGCATTTTCCCATGGGAAGGATTCTTATAATTAATTTTGAAATCTTATTTCAAATCCATTTGGACCCTTAGTCCATTTATAACTTTCCAAAATCAACTTTCTAATCACCCTTTTGCTGTTTATTCCAAAAAATAGATTTTTTTTTTGATGTACTTTAACTTATAATTAAAACTTATTTTGCTAAGAATTAAAGGAAACTCATCTGGTACATATTATAAAACTTGTTGATTGAAAGTTTTTTAATAGTTGGAAAGCAGTTAAGAAGCAATTTCCAAAACTGATTAAGAAATGAGGCTTGGCAGAACTTTGTGTTCATAATATAGGCTACACTGTAGCTGTGAGCTTGGTGGAAATCCCTCTATTCACAGCCATTCAACTCATGAGCTAACTGCAGAAACCTTAACCTTTACTCATAGGGAAAAGCTCTCCAGAGTACAAGTCGGCAATCTCACAATCTCTCCTTTTTCCAGAGAGACTTGGCTGGCTAGAAATCACCATCTGGCCATCAATCTCGACACAATGCCATCTCTGCTCCTTCAGAGACATCTAGTTTGCCAGGAATCCTCACCAGAAGTCCAACTACAGTATACTCTATATGGGGCTGCCCTTGAAAATCACTGGAAGCTACAACTGGTCCAGAATGTAGTGGATTAAGTAGTTATGGGTGGGGGTCAGTTATGGCTCACCTGTGCAACACCACTACTTCAATAGTTGCAATGGTTGCCAGTGGGATTCAGGGCACAATTCAAGTGGCTATTATCACCTTTAAATCTCTAAATCTCCTAGGACTTGCATGTCTTCAGGACTGCCTGCTTCCAACAGTATCTGCCCACTCAGTAACACATTCTAGGAGAGTGTTACTAATAGGGATGTCAGAATCAGATCCTCCCTGTTGCCTTCACCTCCTGTGAAACAACATTTCCCACATGATTAGCATGACTCCAAATCTTTGGAATTCAGAAAGACCATCAAGGCCTTTCCAGGAAGGCTTTGGGAACTGAAGTAGAGGTGGCCTTCCTGCGAGTTGGGACAGTTTGGAAGAATGGTGACTCAAGGTTTTTGTTTTTTTTGTTACTAAATTTTGTTACTAAATGGAAGGCTTATTTGTTTAAATTCTGCCTCTGGCTCTGGAGTACATGCCAGAATCAGATATGATTGAAATGACCTATAAACTTGAGTAATAATTAAATAGAGTCTCTCATAAATTTTTCTTATGGTGATCAAGTTGCAGGTATGGTAGTCATGCACATCTCTACCATCAAAACAGTATCTGAAACACTGACACAAATCACACAAATTTAATTCTCTCATCACATTTGTGGTCAAAATCATGTCCTGAAGTGGACTGTAATGCATGTATTTCTGACCACATATTAGAAGCTTGTGCTAGCTCTTCAGAAGCATGGAACAGATATTGATAGTGGACAAGGATAAAGTATCTGGTGACTGAGGTGGCAGTTATAGTCAGAAGAGTGCTGGGACCAGTGACCATATCAGCATGAGGTGCAAAACTAGTGGGGCAATTGCGAGTCTGTTTTTAAAGGGCTGACATAGTCCCATATCTAATAACAGTTGGATGTGGGGAATTTGTTTGAACAAACATTAAAAAGTACAACTATGAGGAAGTTGAAGCTAGGAGTCATAGGGAAAGTGGTTCTACCCATTCTTGAGTACTATTGCTGCACTCATAAATATGAGAACTTGGGAGACAGCCCTTGGAATTTATGAGTAATAACTTCTGATAAACAACCACAGGATTAAACTGCAACTGTAATAGTAATATTGGTAATAACAACTGTTACTGCCATTTATACGTGGATTGATTAATTTGATATCTTGGCAATATCATATATTCAGCTAAGAGTCTTTGGCTGAATGGAAATGATCTATCTTAATTAAAAAAAAATCCATTTGCTTTACAGGTGAGCCTGGTCCAAAGGGAGATAATGGAAGCTTAGGTGTTCCTGGTGCTGAAGGTCCCCAGGGAGTGCCAGGTGTTCCAGGATTCCCAGGATTAAAAGGGGAAAAGGGTGAAACTGCCACTATCTTTCGATCTGCCTTTAGTGTTGGTTTAACATCCAGAGTCTCTTATATCAATATGCCTATCAAATTTACAAAGATCTTCTACAATGAACAAAATCACTATGATACAGTTACAGGAAAGTTCCAGTGCACCATTCCTGGAGTGTACTATTTTGCATATCATCTCAGTGTATACGCCTCAGATGTGAAAGTCAGTTTATTCAAGAAGGACACGGCAATCATAATCACCTATGACCAGTACCAGAAAAATGATGTTGATCAGGCTTCTGGATCTGTTTTACTCCATTTGGCATCTGGGGATGAAGTATGGCTTCAGTTATATGGGGAAGAAGAAAACAGTAGTATCTATGCTGATAATGTTAATGATTCTACTTTCATGGGATTCTTACTTTATCCTGATTTGAGTTATGGGCGCTAGAATTGGGGAGGGGGGCAGGGAAATGAAAGAACGGCCAAGCATGACATGGACTACATTTTTCTTGTAAACTTCTGGTATGTTAAAAACACAAAAAGCACAATACATAGAAACAAAATAAACTTGGAGGTGGTTCACATTTGAATGTTTATTGCTTGCATATTATGATGATTTGTATGTGTGAGTAAGTCATCAAATATTTGTACCCCTTCGGACAACTTCAGTGGTTTTAAATTCACACATTTAGTTGTCTGTTCTTGTCAGCCTTACTAGGTAGACTGGACAGGAAACATGACCAGATCAGCTAATCCTACTTTATTGTAAAGCTACATTAACAGAATCTTGCAAGTTTGAAAGTACAATTCTCCCACCATCGCCTTTACAGCCGAAGAAACTAGGGAGGGTCTCTTCTGAGCCTCTTGCCCCACCCACTATCTAGCTGCTGGCTGTGCTGACTCTTATCTGATTGTTCCCTAGGCAGCATTTCTTGGCCCATTCTCCCAAGGTATTTATAGTTATGCAATAATCAGATAGAATGAAATCAAGTAATATGTGCATGTGTGTGCATGCACACACATAGACACACACACATTAAATAGATTTCAGCCTGCACTCATTCAAGATAATGTCGTAGTATTGTTTATGTATAGTTACATCAACAAACAGTGATTGGATTTACACATTGTATTAAGCTTTAATGAGGGTTTGGTTTTGGATTGACATGTAGCATGAACACAGCTACTGTGGTTTGTAAACCATATTTTATAGCTTGGCATGCTGTGTGAACTTAGCTAGTTGTGATTTATTCAATAAACAATGGTTAAACCATGTTGTGTGAATCAAGTCAGTGAGATTAAAGCTTTAGCATCACAATTTTCAGAATGATTCTTTTTTAGACCTAAATTAAATATTCAGTTGAATTTAAGCTCGTATCTTTGTTCCTCTAATGGTTCTGTTTTTTTCAATAATTTAACCACCGATTATAGAAGACTTTCTGTCAGAAAGAAGGTTTACAACAGGATTTTCAGTATACCAAATACGTTTTTGAATCAAAAATAAAAAAGTTGTTCACTGACAGTTCTATTTCTTTTTTTTTATTTTTTTTTTATTTTTTACAACAAACACATACAAACAATAACATAAAAAACATTAAAAAAAACCATCCACCAAAATGGGAAAAAAAAAAAATGTAAAATGACAGTTCTATTTCTTTTTTTTTATTTTTTTTTTATTTTTTTTTTATTTTTTTTTTATTTTTTACAACAAACACATACAAACAATAACATAAAAAACATTAAAAAAAACCATCCACCAAAATGGGAAAAAAAAAAAATGTAAAATGACAGTTCTATTTCTTTTGGGCTTGAAATTATATTATTTAGTAGGAAAATGTTACATGCAGGGGTTAATTATTGTTTTCTTCAGAAGGTCTGAGTTCTTTGATTATGGCAGATAATTATGAATCAACATGGAAAAATTCATCTTTGCAAAAACCAACGTTATAAATTCTCAAAAAAGGCTGGTTTGATGATTGGCTATGATAGAGCAATTATTGCTCTCAAGCAACGTGCTAGAGACTTGAACCAATCTCCCTACCCAGGAATATGATTCTGAGCTATAAAAATGTTCCATATAAGCTAAGATTGTGTACTGGTAGAGAAGAACCCCTTAAATTTCTAGCCCATGTTCCATTATATGAACCCTTCTATAGGGACGCAAGGGCCCATTTCATGACTCCCTATTTGGTGAAGTACCCACACATTTCCAACTGATTTTATGTGGAGCTATTTCTGTCAGACCAGTATGATTCAGTTTCCAGTATGATATAGTTACAATTGTATGTTTGTATGTTGAATTACTCGAAGCAGAATCTGTTTATTTACTTTGTTAACTTGGAGAATTCTAGCCAGGGACCATAATAAAAAAGGAAGGCATGGAAGCAGAATTGGGGCAAAATACATCCATTCAGTATTCACCATGGAACCTGTGACATACTTGCATGCTATTACTCCATTAAAAAGCACACAAGTTAGCTATTTAAGAGCACATATTAGCTATTCATAATCCAAAATCTCTACCATACTTTATGTCATTCATTATTTTTCTTTTCCTAGTTTTCTTCCATATTATGGAAATGGCTTTTAAGAAATATATATTTGTTTGAAGGAATACCTATGAGTTGCCCATGTGTTTTTAGTTTGGTGACACATTATTTCCCTTTTCTTCACTCCCTTTCTGCCACACACAGAGGCCTCGATGTTCTTTCATTACAGTAACAAGAAAAGGTTGTGCAACGTTTTATTTTAAGGACAGTTTTCCCAGAGCTAATCACATATCCGAATCCATCGGAAATACCCTCACCGAGACAGAATAGCCTAAAGGCCATAACACTTAAAAGAAACGTCAGTGCTAGATTTAGTAAGATTCATTTCGATGTTAGATTTAAGAATGTTTAACATCGCCAGAAAAGAATAATCCACTAGACATGCTAACATAAAAGAAGATTGGAGAGGAACAGTAAAATACAGTAAGATGCATTAACAAAACAGAAAATAATTTGAATGATAATTCTGAAAGAATTATTGAAATAGTAAGACCTTCCAATTTATAACTCAGAGTAAACTATGCTTCCCTTCCATGAATATCCTTGAATTCACTTATCTTTCAGAAGTATAAAAAGCAATTTTAAAAAAAGTAGAGTAAACATGAGGATTTGAAAAGAAGTTGCTTGGAGCGGGAGGGGAATGGGAAATGTCCCCCTTTTAAATTTTCTTAAGTAACAGTAGCTCTTTTAAGGATTGGAGTCAAAGAAAATGGACTATGTACCAAGTATCCTAGCAAAATTAGTCCATCATGTTATAAAGCATCAGAAGTGACTCTAAAAGCATATAAAGACATGCATATATTTGAGTCCTTTTTATGCATAATTATCTGTATTAATATTGTTGCTTAGCATCATAATGAGATATATTTTTAAAAAGCAATCATAGTACAGAATTTTAATATATACTAGTACGTATTACCTTTTCAAAGTTTAGCCTACTATGAGTTCATGCTTAGTTTCTTATAACTCACTCAGTAATTTTCTCTCTTCTAAAATCTATAATTAACCTTGCTGCTTTTGGCTCAGTGAAACTATTTTTGGGATAGTCTCAATGATAAAAATAATTGAGATCTCAAGCTACTCTGCAGTCACTGGAAATACCCACAAGATGGTGCCAAGCTAACAATAACAATGATAATTTTCAAATAGGCTCTCAAGTGCTTCTTTTTTAAAGACCGTAACTGGGATTGAGTGAACGGAGATGCCAGAAAATAAATTACATTTTTACCTAAAACCAAAACATAACTTGCTTTGTTTTATCACTCAATTTGCTTTTATCACTTGAATGTCCGTAGCTGCGGTGCTTTTTTGCCAACCTACAGAGCTTATTATTACGGCTGGTTGCACAGTCAGCCAGATGTTTAGACTGGATTTGGCATTTTTATCCATCTATCGACCTTCCCAAGGACCTGGGATAGGCAGATGTTGTTGTTTGATGGTCTGATGGTGTTAAAGGTATCATCGCAGGATATAAGCTGTTCCAAGTAAAGCTGCCTTTTGCAATTGACTGATGTGATGATGATGATGATGATGATGATGATGATGATTTAGAATCCTCAAGTAGGTGTCATATCAATTGCAGTAAATGAATAAATGAAATATTAAGAATGTTTCGGATTTAGCTGCATGCTGCATTATTGCCCGTAACAAACAAATTCTGGTCCTTCCACCTCAATATCTGAAAAAGCATCATTATACCGTTGAAATCTGGAGACTTAAAAAATGTTTTCTAAAGAATGAGCTCTACATTCTTTAGATAGATGGACTTAATACAAAATTGTCAGTTCAGAACACTGCCAAGTGGAGGTAATAGTATTACACTGGGGACTACTGTTAATAAGTATAATGTGGCAGTTTGAAGTGTGCTAGCCAGTCAGGAATCCTATGAGGTTTTCCAAGGGACTGTATTGCTGGCTTTCGGATGATATCCAGTTATACATCTCCATCCTGGGTGATGTGAGTGATGCTGTGATCACCCTGTCGTGGTGCCTGGAGGCTGTGGGGGTCTGGATGGGGTGCAACAGGCTTCAGCTGAGCCTAGATAAGATGGAGTGGCTATGGATTGGAGGCCGCTCTGTATCTGAGGATTTACCATCTTTGGTTTTTGACGGGGTTGCACTGCCCCAGACAGACCCATTGCGTAAGCTGGGGGTCTTCCTGGACTCATGACTCCTGCTTGAGGAGCAGATGGCAGTCGTGGCCAGAGGGCCTTTGCCCAACTTCATGTGGTGCGCCTGTTATGACCTTTCCTGGATGAGGAAGCTCTCCGGTCAGTCACTCATGCTTTGGTCATCTCTGTTAGACTATTGCAATGTGCTCTACATGGGGCTACCCTTGAAGAGTATCCAGAAGGTACAGCTGGTTCAAAATGTGGCCGTGCGGACAATCTTGGGTGCCTCAAGAATGGCACATATAACACCTTTACTGCAGGAGCTGCACTGGGTCCCAATTTGCTTCCGGGTCCAATTCAGTGTTGGTTATTACCTTTAAAGCCCTACATGGCATGGGTCCAGGTTACCTAAGGGACTGTCTCACCCCATCACATCAACCTGTCCCACCCAGTCAGGCAGAGAGGGCATATTGTGGACCCTGCCAGTGAGGGAATGTTGGCTGGCAAGGACCCAGGAGGAGAGCCTTTTCTGCCGTTGTCCCCATCCTTTGGAATATCCTCTCCCCAGAGGTGTGGCAGGCCCCTACCCTTCCGGCTTTCCAGAAAGGATTAAAGACCTGGCTCTGCCAGCTTGTGTAGGGTGACAAGAATCTTACCCAATCCTGTGAGTGGCTGGTGCCTTGATGACGCTCCCCGAGTTACTGCCAATTTTAACATCTATCCTTGGATTATATCTATTTTCTATTTATTTAGGATTATTTTATATTGTAATTTTAATTGATTTTAACTGCTTTGTAAACCGCCCAGAATAATTTTTTAACAAGATGGGTGGTGACAAATTTGATCTATTTTCTATTTATTTAGGATTATTTTATATTGTAATTTTAATTGATTTTAACTGCTTTGTAAACCGCCCAGAATAATTTTTTAACAAGATGGGTGGTGACAAATTTGATATATAAAATAAAATAAAAAATAAATAAATAGTGTCTGTGGATGCCAATGGACACCTCTCCTGGTACCTCTCAGGCTTCCTGTCCCTTATGACTTTTTTAAATTAAAAATATTTTAATTAACATTATTTCAATTATAAACTAATTTTAAAAATATATCTTAATGCAAAAGAA